GAGAGGGGAGGGGGAGCGGGGAGGTAGCAGCTCGGAGGAAGAAGCTGACAGTGGTGCGAAGATGTAAATGAGCGAGTTTAGGTCTGGAAATCTCAGGGCAGGCCGTTTGCATTGGATATCGGCTCAAGGGGTCCTGCTGGCCGCTGCGGGGCGACGTGGACGCCCCGCCACGCCCCGCCACGCCCGTCTGGCCGCGAGGCGAGGAGAATACCAAAGCACCCTAGCCCAGCACATCAAGTGATCCGCGGGGGTTATTGGGAGGGAAAAGGCCGCGGGGTGGCGTGGCGCGGCGCGGAGCGACATCTGGAGGCGAGGCCCGCCATTGGCCGCGCGGCCGGCGAGCAGGCGCGGCCTGGCCCGGCGCGGCTCCGCGGGGGCCGTAGGCAGTGGGCAGGAGTCGCGCGGGGGGGAGGGGGGGAGGGGGACGCTGCCGCTGTCTCTCTCGTACACGCGCGCCCGCTCGGAGGGGTTCACGGCGGGTCGACGCGCAGCCCAGGCTGCGTGGCGCGGCGTGGCGAGAAGGGGGGAAGGGGGCGTCGTCTCGGTGAATGGCGCTGAGCTGTGTGCGCGCTGCAGCGGCGCGGCGGCGGTGGGCGACGCTCACGTCAAAACCCACGTATCGCCGAGCAGTGCGCCGTCCAGTTAGCCTGCCGCGCTCCCCCTCCTACCCGAGCCTCCCCCGCACTCGGCCGAGGCGAGAGTCGTTGCACCTTCGTGTATACCCGACGGGAACGACGGCGACGACGACATCGACGAAGCTCTCGATGTCTACGAGGATGGCAGGGACCCCGATTTGGGTGGAGCGCTGACGCGGGCCGGTCCCTGCCGGATGGCGCGGTGATCCCTGTGATGATGTTTACCAGAGTACAAGGCAATCACCTCCCACCCCCGCACTCCACTCACAGGTGAGTGAGTGTGTGTGTGTGCGCGCGCGCGTATATGCACGATGTACGTGTGTGCTGGGCCCCGCCAATAACAATGCAAATGATTGCATTATGGGGCCATCATTACGGACAACTAGTGTAGTGCGCACACAGACACACACACACACACACACAGCGCGATACGCACTACATACTCGGTGTGCGTATGTATGGCCCGCCGCGCCACGCCCCGCAGAGTGTGTTCATTACACTTGGCGGAGCTGACCGCTCCCCGCCTACGGTGCTCCGCGCCGCCCGCCGCGCGCTCCGCGCTCACCGCCAAATACAATTTTTCAACGCCATTGTTCAGAGCAACAGCAGAGCGCGCGCTTTTTATTTAAACGAAACAACAGGAAAAAAATGGCGAGACGTTTTCGTTTTGGGCGGAAATGCATCCATCATCGTCCTGCTGCTACCGGCTGACTGTGTGGGGCGGGCCGGCCGGTATTAGCACACGCGCACGGCCGGCGGAATACATTTCCACACAGCTGACACGTGAAAAATATTTTCCCGGCGTGGGAAGCAGCGACGATTGCGTGGGAAAAACAAGGGTAAAAATTGGAACAGCACACACACACACACACACGCACGAAAAGATGAAGAGGAGGGAAGGACAGAGAGAGAAAGAGAAGAGACCCGGCGGCATGGGCCGCGAGCAGAAGACGTTGCTGGTGCTTTGGCACGCCCAAGGACGCGCGGCGTGGCGGCGCGTAGCGCGCCGCTCATGAACCCACATCATGGGAACCCGCCATAAGCAGGCCGGCGTAGCTCCGCTCGGCTCATCCCGAAACCCGTTCCGCTGTTCCGCCGCGCCACCCACCCGTGGCAGATTAGTCTCATCCTCATCGATACAACAAGAAACAACTTACACGCTCACGCTACAAACGGAACACACGACGGGCCCCGCCCCCTCCGCGCTGCCGCTGCTGATAAGGAGTCGCCTATCTCCGACCCGCATCTGCAGGTGGGATGGAGCAGATGGCTATCTCTGCCGGTGAATAACACCCGTCCGGTGTAAATGAGTGCTTTATGGCCGGATCCCTAGTGTCAATAAAGAGTTTAAGAGGCGTGTTCCGACAGCCATTTGCTGCATACAGAGCTAAGATGTTCGAACTCACACTTGACCCCCCCGAAAACGATTTACAAAAATTATTTCAGGTGATGCGTATTAGGGAATAGAAATTATCGCACTGGTACCCCTCCTAGTCGACCTTGCGCCCCCGTTCCCACGGCTCCAGAGCCGCCACTGTCACTGCGAGTGTCTTATTAGGCGGGGGGTTACGGCTGCGCTGCCCTATGGATGCGGCGCTGCGCCGGCGGAGTTATGGCGTGACTGTCCGTGCGGCCATATCCTGCGGCCGGCACCACCGGAAGTGGGGGAGGGCGGCCAGAGGCCCGGACAGGGGCCTAGCGCGACTAACAGTGCTGTTTTGTCGCTGCTGAGCCTGTGTTCTTCGTCTCTCTCTCTCTCTCTCTCTCTCTCTCTCTCTCTCTCTCTCTCTCTCCAGCTGCAATCTCCACGCGACATCTCATTGGCTGTCTCCAGCCTCAATTACCTCCCCTCTCTCT